TGATCCAAGTTTATTTACTGAAGGTTTTCTCTTTTCTCTTTCAACTGGGAACTAATGATAAAAGCTTTCAAATCCTTTTTAAAATCCATTACAAGAGAACTCAAAACAGCTCACAACTTTTTGATGCTTGACAGTAAGCAACACAACTTTCTGGCTAGGAATGGAAGACACTACTTTGTGGGGGCATTTATGTCTATATTACAGTCTTGATAATTTGAATAATATAGGATGCTACTTCTCTTCATAAGTGAACCTTGGGATGACACGATAGGTCAAGGGGTTTTGGGTTATAAATAGAAATGAAACAACAGACAGTATGTAAACAACAGAAGTTTGGAGTTTATTAACAAAAATGGCTAGGAAGTGCACCCATCCCATGAACACTTCCCTCATCAATTGCTTTCAAAGGCTTCTGATTAATTTCAGAGTTGTAAAAATGTGCTAAGAGCTGTCAGACTCGAAGCTATTTATTTTCTTAGATCGGACTTTTGTAAATTTCGATCGTGATCTGGCACATGCTTATGGGAAGTTCCAAGCATTGATGACTTACAAATGCACTTCATTCAAAGGTCTCTCCATAAACCTTGCAAAATGCCCTTTTCTATTTTATGCAAATCAAAATTGAAAACAGTTGGCGAACAAAACTTGAATGCATAAAATGTCTGCAGTCATTCTTTGGAATTCATACTTTACACGCACCAGTAAAAGATGACTGTGTGTAAATTACAATGCCAATAACAAGAAGTAAAATGCAAACTTTGGCCTACAATCATCAAATATGCTTGTTCAAGGTCTCTTTTTAAAGCTCTGAAAATGCCCTGTTTTAATAAATACAAATCAAACTTGAGAACATTGAGCAAAAAAACTTGAAGGCATAAAATGTTTTCAGTCATTCTTTGGAGTTCATTGACATGTTAAAACAAAAGGGATACACTTGTAGATGCTGCCACTCAAGGTCGCTTAATTGTGCTATTGTTTCATTCCTTAGAGTCTTCCTCTAGAATGATCTCGTGCACCTTTCCTGAACTCATCAATCCGAACTTAGTCGTCACACTTTTGGCAGATCTGTGTGGCCCCCTAAAATGAATGCCTAAAGGAATAAATTGAGCCTTGTTCGCACAAAATCCTGTGGTAGCATCCATTTCTGAATGACACACTTAAATCAACATGAAGTTGTAATGCATAGAATTTCCCTGTATACTGTTGCAAAGTTAGCTGTTAAGTCATTGTGTTACAGGCTATCTTAGCATTTCCCTAGATATTGACCCAAATGTAGCCATTAACCCTTAACTCCCAAGATCTGATTGTGAATTCTCCCCTCTAGGTGCTACACATTTCTGTAAATTAGTTATGAGAATTTGTTGTTAGATCAAAGTAACAACTTTTACCTGATAAGTTTGATACCATTCTCATTACCTGTTTGCTGGGTAATATAAGTGTATAATGGGGAG